CATCTGGCGATTCCGAGGGCGGATTTTCTTATGGTAGCGCTGTTCCTCTCGTACCTCCCAAAAGCAAGAAACCCAAGGGAAAAGGAAAACCCGCACCAGCCTTCGGGGAAGATGAGGAGCTCGAAGGATTAAATGCACAGTCCTCGGCAGACGGTGCAGCGGGTTATGATGACGGCGAATGGTTGATGTGGACGAGTGGGCAGAATGGTTGATGCTGCGCCCGTTAGTTGGGCCAGAGGTACCATCAATTGGAACAACAGCATGATAATCGTGCATTGCACGGACTGCTTCACATGTGCCCTTGAACAACCTGACCATTTCTTTCTCCCCGAAACGAGTATTGTTGACAGTATTTGCGTTAATAGCATCTTGCAAGTTGCCGCGCTAAAACCCAAATATCGTCAACTCTTTAGACTCAGTGCCTGGGATGGCCGAGCACACCTTATACAGGGGTAGGAACAGGTAGACGATCTTCCCATCGCCAGAGGGATCTTGTACAACTGAAGAATCCTATTTTAGGAGGAATTTAAGCATCAGTTTATTGTTCCATCTACAGCTTATATGCTTGAAACCTACATAGATGCGAATAATATTAGGATGCCTATGGTAGATCAGCAACGTTGCGCTTACGACGGATTGAATAGGAAACTAACTTGAATCTACGATAAGCTTCAATTTCTCGCATAGCGCCCTTTACCCCTTCCGAATTATGAACGCGAATCTTCTTGAGAGCGAATTCACGCTAATGACCGACCGACATATTGGTCAAAGGCTCAAATCAGGGGAGCAACAAACTCACACCAGTCGTTTCATCTTGTGCAAGATAGACGAATGAGAAACCTCCTTCGCCCAACGCCCTCACAATCTTGTCTGCATTCGTCGTATCGACCGTGAGCCCAATGTCCAATTTCTCGCGAGATACAACAGAACTTCATACTCACATTTGCGACCGTTCACTTTCACCGTAGCGGCTGGTTTGCATGCACAACCTGCCAATGCCCATATAGCGTCCTTTGCTTGCTCCTTGAGAGAGTCGAAACGACTTAGTATACTGTCTTGGTAGCTCATCGTAGTGCGTTGAGGTTCCGTTCTACGCAAATGTTGTTTGGATGTGTTGTTCTCCGATGGCAGCGGTCGTGGCCAGAAGCGCAGTGTGAACAAAGCAATTTTCGCCCGGGTTGGAATCTTGGCTTTCTCCTACGTCGCGTCTAAACCCTTGACTCCCAAACTTTTGTCTATCTCAAAATATATAATATTGGAACATGAACAGGAAACCCGCACACACTGTCGGAAAGGGACGGAGGAACACGTTGAGTGATGTAGACGCCAGTCAAGCTCACGAAATTGCTACGTGCGTAATCGCTTTTACCCTCTTTTCTGCACACTTCTGAGGCTTTGCTAACCCTTTCTATAGCAAAACTACAGACGAAAATGTGTATCTTTTTGTACCCAACCTGATAGGTTAGCACTGAAACTTTCGACCAGAACGGCCTTTGCACCGTTCCTGATTACAAACACCCTGTTCATTGGGTAGACCACGATTCTAACATGCTCCTTCTCTTCTAGGTTATTTGCGAGTCATCCTAGCTGCGCTCGCGCTATATTATATGCCCTACCACCCTCGTTATTGCACGCTCCTGTATGGCGCGTCCAGTCTTCTTGACGCAGCGGACGGCTATGCAGCAAGAAAATTGGGCCAAGCCAGTCAGTTTGGTGCCGTGTTGGACATGATTGTCGATAGGTGTGTCAAACGAACATGCTTCCAAGCACTTTCGTCAGTGGCTTATTGAAACACGATAGATGTACGACCAGCTGTCTATTATGCTACTTAGCATCCGCGTATCCGGACTATGCCCTGATCTTCCAGGGCCTCATCAGTCTTGATTTCTCTAGTCATTACATGCACATGGTTAGGTAAATGTCTCGCTGTAATCTCCCAAATTTGATTCTCAATCACATTTCCTTATACAGCACCCTTACCACTGGCTCACGCCATCATAAAGAAATCAAGGAGGACGTCAGCAGGATTCTAAGGTGGTATTACAAGAAGGTATAGGAGGTCTATATGTCCACTTCTGACTACTAACCCGAGCCCAATGTAGCCCGTACTCTTCACGATGTGCGCTGGAAACGAACTGTTTTTCGTCTCACTGTATCTCATCAAATGGGATCATACGCCAATCTATACGTTATTACCTAAATCGGTATTGGCGTCATCCTTCTTCATCGAATACTTCCCACATTCTTTCCGTTATCTTACATTGGCTCATTTCCTGGCCTTCCTAACTGGTCCAATCTCGCTCGGCAAGAACATTGTCAACGTCGTCCAAGCATGGAAAGCTAGCAAGGTCCTAGTTGGGGTCGACTTGAGAGAGAGGGCTTTGGCAGAAGCCAAGGCGAAGCAGTAGTCGAATTTGAGGATGCCATCACGGTTCGGTGGTGTACACCCCAATACACCCGGACGCAGTGGCACCAATCAGGAGGGAAATTTTTATTCGGACTCTCACGACATCATCTACCAACTACATACAACTATAGAGGGGAACACGTTCCCTCAAATTCGATGTCTTTCTTGTCATACGTTGTTTATTAAAGTTTATCAGGAGTGTGTCAGTACACCTTGACTATTGCAACATTATTCATGGTTCTCCGAGTCGGATACAGTCAGTCCTTAGTCTGATATTTCATCACCTTTCAAAGTACGTCCTTGATGAGCAAGCACTGACTTCTAGCTTTGAGTCCACAAAAACTTTATCGCTCCTCTGCTTCAATTCGCAGAGGAAGACGACGGAAAAACCTTCAAGCTCATAGAGTATTCAGGTAAGTAGTGGAATGGGGTGAAAATGCCCGCCCTGCTCTCCTTGTGGGGGTGGGGATCTACCCCTTGATACGAACACTCCCGGTATACAAACGGCATTTACTGTAGGTGGAACTGCAGAAATTATATCTGGTTTCAGGAATGATGAGATCGATATTGGGATTGCCCTCACTGGTGCACTTACCGCAGGTATTGCCAAGGGCAACTCGGATTACCGACTTGTCGGCCAGTTTGTTACCACATCGATGAGCTGGTAGGTTTGTTTCACTGAGATGGAAGCATCTGAATGTTTGCTTCAGGGCTGTTGTGGTTGGGTATAATTCGTGGTACGAAAAGATCAAAGATTTGAAGGGAACAACGGTCGGAATCTCTGGTATTGAGAGGTATGTGGAATTCGCATCTATTTGAGGACTGTAAAATCATCTAAGATATCACCCCAGTGAAAGTCATGTAATGACCTCTGTATTGGCAATGCACCAAGGTAACCTCCAGTGGGAAAGAGCGTGGATATTAGTACTGAGCTTTTAGGGTGGTACTCTGATAAGGAGAAAAAACATGTCGAGAGGTTCAAATTCAAAGGTATGGCGCTCCTTTTGACTGAGAGCTTCATTCAGTTTTCTCACCTAGCTTCATAGTGAATCCTACCATGGACAGTCTTCTAAGTTCTGTCAACAACGGGTCTACAAGTGCGTTCTTGTGGGAATGGTGAGTCGGTACCACTCCCATAACACCCACCTTTACGTCGTTGGTCTCATATGGTAGCCTCTTCTAACCTGGACGGCATAGGTGGAACATAAAACCTTACGTTGATAATAAAGAGGTTCGCGTTGTAAGCATACAATATCTCTCGCTTCTGTGAAAAATAGTGACGCCTTCTAGATCGGCTTAGTTCCTACCCCCTGGCCAAGCTGGATGATTGCCGCACACACTTCACCGAAAAGAGCGCCTCTTGTCGAAGTACGGGAATTCCTTGCCAAGCTCAACATATACGTCCAGACCTTCTCTAGCGGACTTTTGCAAAGCAAGCCTGTCGGGATTGAAATCCATGGTGTTCCTATTTCTCCTCTTTTCACGAAGGACGGTCATAAAATAAAGGACAGTCCGATGCTGAGGAAAGAGCGTGCCAATATCGACTATATCATCAGTCAGTTTGGATACGAAGAGATGGACGTGAGAGAGTGGCTATCTACCGTTCAGTACCCCTCGGACGTAGGACTGGTGCCTTTGGACAAGGTCGTACACGCTCTTATGTAAGTGATCCCTTTTTGCGATCTACCTGAACTGAATATCCATCCTTGGCATTAGTGCATTGCAACGGGCTGATATAGTGAAGCGTCCAAAGAAAGGATTTGAACCTGTCGATTTTACACTGGGAAACATTTGTCGATTTGAATGAGACTATGCCTTGTGACTAGTGAATTCTGGGGTACACTCCTGGCTTGATCTAAAGACCTGTACCTACAAAAATAGCGAAGTAGCTTCTGCCTTCACAATTCAGTCCAAATGTTTGTCTCTGTTTATGTGTCCTTGAATTGCGCCGCTGGAGTCGCCTATCGGGCTAACGGTTGGATCTGTGGCTAATATTCTTCGACCATATCCCTACATTATTCATGGTACTTCGAGTAGGATACAGTTAGTGCTCAACTCTAAACAATACACGGTTGATCTATGTCTATCGTGTACCGTCTCTGGACAAGCTCTAACTCTTGTCTTGAGTTCGCGAGCATTTTGCCTCTCCAATCCTCCAATTCGCAGAGGCCGATGGTGGGCAAACGTTCAAGTTGGTAGAATGTCCAGGTTTGTATCAATGTTCTACGTCTTGTTCGTGACTACGTCTAACATTCAAGACGTTATATTGCGATCGATTCCACTCTATTCACCACACTGAATTCCCTCTACTTTCACAATCATACTTGCTACAGGTGGAACTGGACAGATAATAGCTGCCTTCAAGAACGACGAGATCGACATTGGGATTGCTCTCACGGACGCTCTCATTGCTGGTATCGCAAACGGCAATCCCGACTATCGACTCGTGGGGCAATACATCACTACACCTTTGAACTGGTCGGTTCTTCTACCCCAGACACTGTGCCCCCAATAAATCTCTTATATTCTCTGTGATCGCTTAGGGCTGTGATCGTTGGCTATGATTCGACGTATCAAAAGATAGAAGATTTGAAGGGGACGACGATGGGGATTTCCCGTATAGGAAGGTACGTGAATCTCCTCAGAGAAGAATAGGTTTGACTGATAGGGCTGCAGTGGAAGTCAAGTGATGGCTGCTGTGATGGCAATGCAGCAAGGCAAATACTTTAATTTGGGCCGAGGAGCACATGTTGATCTTGCCTGTAGGATGGTATTCCGACCAGGATAAAACGGTCGTCGAAAAGTTTAACTTTCAAGGTGCGCCACTGGTTGGTTGTGGGATCCCTGTAACTCACTCTACCGCCCAGTGAACAACAACATAGACGGTCTGATCCGCTCAGTCAACGATGGAACCACGAGCGCATTCATGTGGGAATGGTGAGTCGCGTTTCTCTTACCGATCGCTGCTAACTGCATCTATAGGTTCACGACGAAACCATATGCTGACAAGAAACAAGTTCGATTCGTAAGTATCATTCGAAAATTCTACTCGACCTAAATACGGCACCTAGATCGGTTCGGTGCCTACTCCCTGGCCTAGCTGGATGATCGCAGCGCACACTTCCTCGACACGAGCACCAGCCGCCGACGTACGGGACTTTCTCTCCTCTCTCACAACGCACGTCAAATCCTTCGCCGAGGGCCTCGTACAGAGCGTACCCGTCGGCGTCGAAATCATGGGCGTCTCTGCCTCACCCACCTTTACCAAAGAACAACACGGTAAAGAAGGGTCAGACGAGATCGTCGTCGTCGAAGCGCCCATGCTCGAAAAAGAAAAGGCAAACGTCGAGTATATCGTGCGCAACTTTGGGTATCCAGAGGAGGATGTGAAAGAGTGGATGTCGACGGTGGGGTATCCTGTAGATGTGGCCGTCGTACCACTCCAAGTCGTCGTGCAAACACTCGAGTTGAGTCTTCATCTCTCCACATCTATTACCTGTTGTATTAGCTGACTGAGCGCTTTGTGTTTCTTACCTATTATAGTGTATTGGAACAGGCTGGTGTGGTCAACCGACCTCAACAGGGATTCGAACCAACCACATTTGCAATGGGCAATATCTGTCGCTTCGAGTAGAGCTGCGCACAATTCATAGCTGATATTGACGATGGTGCCTTCTTGGATAGCCTTGTGTGTTCTTGATAATGACCTACAGAGTTGCTTGATATCGCAGGGAGAGAGAAAGAGGAGAGATGTACAGGCAAAGACATGACTCCAGCTTGTTTAATCGAGATTTGCCACAAAGATCCGTCTCGCTCCTCCATACCAGCTCTTCGGCGGCTCGAGTGTGAGAATATAGACCAGGATACGAGCGTGAATCTAGGATAAACGAATAGACTGTACGCCTCGTGGTTTCCAGGCCACCACGAAGCATACCAGCACAATACCAGAGGGTGTACTCACTCTCTCGCCACTCGTCATCGCATTATCACCCATACAAGGGCCTTATACATTGAGATGTATACTCCCTTCCATCCTCTATTGATCACTCTCTTCTGGACAAAGCAGATGCACCTGAGAGTGTATAAGAATAGTTGTGGCGAGAGAGTTTGGTTTGGGTCCAAGTTACTGGATTGGGAAGAGGCATAAGATAGTTTGGCGCGCGTCTTCTACCCTAGAGTGAGTGGCGGGTGAGGCTCCCCTGAGATTTACCCTTTACCCTCTG